GATAGACGGATAGATTACCAAGAGAAAGTGATTATAGTCTTCTATATATTCCAATGGCTTTTTGGCTGATAGGTGAGTATACTGTAAATACCTTTCACTGGCCACACCACTGCTTTGCAGAGTGAGGTTTGACAAAGCTCATAAAATTTAGCACACAGTTAGACTTTAAACTAGCTGGGAATACATGGAGAAATTAGACTGCCAACTATATTAAATGACTTTTTAACACTGTGGGAACATGGAGGACATGCAGGATTTTCTCCTCATTAAACACAAGGTGCAGGTGTTCTGTGTCACTGTCACCACACAGAGTTCAGTGCAGTACAATAACAATGTACTGCAAAAGGAACTTTTCTTACAGTGAGCTTTGATATGTTAATACATTTGACTGCAAATACTTTTATTTGCATATCAAATATTTAAAAAAAAAATAGTTTTAATGGATTATTCCAGGGTGGTGCTGATACTTTACTTAAGAACTATTTCTTCCCTCTCCACAGTTTGAACAAATCATTCATGAGCAGTGAGCCAGAGGAGATTAACGCTGCACTAAACACGAATAAAGTGCTTTAATTTCAAAACGGTTCATCTTTCAGCTTGTCGCAAAGTACAGATAATTTTATTATGGATTTTTTTTTTGTCTGCACTTGTGACATACAGCGTTGAATTTATTTTATCACAGATGTATAATTACTTACATAAACACAGTCTCCAGTGGCCAATAAGGTTTTTAACCGACAACAGGGATTTCTTTCAAAGTTGCGGCTGCACATAATAACTCTGTGAAGATAATAAATATAATTTGGGCAACACAATAGTGAAGAGGAGATGCTAAGCAGCAGGGAAACTTCAGTGGACGAGCGAAGCCAGGAAGTAAATTAGATATGTCAGAAAGATTTAATTTCTCATAAAAGTTGTGGGAAAGTAATAACAGCTCACATGGGCTGGTATGCATCATGTCAATGGAAAAACTTTTAATAGTAATCAATCATAGTACAAGTTTGTGCTGTTGTCAGAAGAGAGTGTGTGATCAGAGAGCTTTTGATGCAGTTATCTGGGTTTCATTTATTTTTTAATGGATCGTGGATGTTTATTTAATGAGGCTTTATTTTGCTGTAATGCACAGCAGACAATTAGTTCACTTTTTCTGCTCTGTGTTGCTGTTTTCGTCAGCGTTGTTGCTCAGCTCTGGTCACTGACTCAAGTTCTGGTCACCAAAATTTGCACATGCAAGTGTTCAGAAGTGGTTGAATAAAACAGACACTCTTGTACCACTAACAGAAATATAAACAGCTGCTGTTTTAAAATATGCTGCAGATGTTTTGACTCCATTAACAGACCTCTCTGCCTGCTGACATACCAGTGAACTCGTGTCATAATGCAAGAGGAAGGACCACCACAGAGACATTTATATGACATCTGCTCGATGTGTTACACAGGAGGAAAGAATGGTTTTGCAAGGCTGTTTTATTTTTCAAAAATATTTTGATGGGGGGTAAGACCTCAAGAACAACAAAACATTTCCCTCGAACACAGTTTGGTCTTAATGCTCATATTTTTCCTTGAATAAACACAAATGCATCTGCATACATACAATTCAAAAAGTACATGTACATATCTTGTTTTGAATGGGTACATAATGATACACAGTTGCCCTTTGAAATGTGACGGTACACATCCATAGTTTGATCTTCAATACAGATTTCAAAGTTGTGCTATTGATTTGCTGCCAGCTTTTCTTTTTCTCTTTTTTTGTCTTCTTCTCAAACTAGCAGATTTTACAGGAAGAAAAATTTCGTATAACTATTCTCCTCTTGAAGAGCAAGCAATTTAACACTGAACGGTTCATTCATGAAGAGGGACAGGATAAAAAGCACCAGAGGAACTGAAACCATCTTCAGTCAAATGTCACCTCTTTTTCATTTTTCATGTGAGCAAGAGCCAGTGTCCTGTGCTTTCTCTGTGCCAAGCTTGTGTGAAGGCTCTCTCTGCTCTGAGTCCCTGGGTATAACTGTCTGTGGAGCAGGGCTCGTCACTGTTTCAGGATGAGACAGGTGTCTGTTAGATGTTGCGGCGGCCTGTCACACACAGCCGTTCTCCTGCCTGGGCTTGTGCACCACAGGGGTGTGTGGAGGGTAGAGGGAAGGGGCGAGTGTACACAGGAAGCCAGCCAGCAACGTCAGGCCCAGTCCACCCCAAGCACAAAACATGGACCAGCCATAACCGTGACTGATGTCCTCTGGTATCCCAAACATGTAGCGAGGATAGCGGGACAGTTCAAAGTTGATCCCAGCCACACATGTGCAGAGGGAGATTATGCAGCATGTCCCTGCCAGAGAGGAAGAAAGAGTCAGACACGACAGCATCCCATTTTCATCTCCTCTGATGCATCATTCACCCTCTCATTAACAAAGAGCTTACTGCCCCTCTGTGGTGATTCAGGGTAGTGTTCTTTATGTATATCCCATCTTACCTCCCATGAGGAAGAGAAGTCCAGCCACATACTGCATCAGATCATGCTCTTTGCAGCAGCCCAGCACGCCTATGATCCAGCCAAACAGGATGATGGATATGGCCATGCCTACGAAGCTGGCAGTCATCCTCTGCAGGTCTGCAAAGAGAAGAGGACACAGTGTTTGTTGGGGCGATGCCAAGTTTCTCCACCTTTATTCATCACATTATGAAAAAAAAAGGCGTTTGGGGGAACTCACGGAGCGCGTGCCACTCATCCTGCCTTATTGTCTTCGTCAGATTGATTGGCAGATTTCTGGGCAACGCTGCTGATGAGTAGTAGTATTTTATTGGTGTGCAGCGCGGAACCAATCCTGTGGATGTAAACAACACAAAGAGGATGTCACATAAGCACTGAGATCAGATGAAGAGGATATCACAAGGCTCTCTGCTGCCACCCCCCTCCCAAAAAAGCACCCAACCCCCTTCCACCGCCACCCACCCATCCACCCACACCATTGTAGAGTAGCTTATTGTACGCATCTCGAGGCTTCTGTTACTACAGCTTGCCCTTTTGTGCTGGAAAACAACACAGCACGTCGATGGTAACTGTACTCCGCGTTATACTGCGTGCGTAGGCCTTGAGGGTCTGTGCGCAGCATCAGCACCTTGGATAGCGCATTCGTGCACAAAGTATTTACTGATCGCACCTCACGCACAACAACACAAACGTCCAAAACAACAATTCTAGCACCAAATATGATCAAACCTTTGAAGATTAAATCCTCTGTCTCCAAGTCATATCCCTCTCGGTGGCACTTTTGCCACAGTCCTGTGATGGTGGAGTTGAAATGCCGACTGCAGAGGGACTCCATGGCCGGGGCAGGAGGCAAGAAGTGCCGCTTAGCCCGCAGCAGCGCAGCGCCGCTCCTCCGCGCCACATTCCTCTCCTTTGGCAACATGCGGAGCGGGAGGTTGTTGTTGGAGATGTAAATGTAGCCGGGGTCGTTTCTTTTGTTTGAGTAATTCTTGCAGCGTTCCCGGTGCCTCCTCGCGTCAGTCTCGTACCAATTATCAGTGCTGATCGCCACTGCTATCAGTCCCAACGCGCAGAATGCCAAAAAGAGACCTGCCACGGTTAAAGTCCTCATAGCAGCCATGTTCCATGCGTATCTCGCCTCGGTGCCGTGATAATTCCACGGGACAGCAGGACTCCGCTCCTGGCTGCTGCTGCTGCTGCTGTCAGTATTTGAGGTGGGGAGGATATTCAGCAATACGTGGAAATGTGAAATGCAGATAAGCCCCTGAAGCCCTCATTTCTTAGATTTTGTCAACCACCGCCGAAATAAGCCAAATTCCAAGGCAGAGGATAAATAAATTTGGGCCTCGATGAGCTATTTTGGTTGTCTCCTCTCTGCCTCTGAACTCAGTCTAGCCTAGATACTGGTCAGTCCAACATTTCTTTCCAGTAGATGGAGACAGAGCAAATATTTGAAAGCACAACAAGCCCCAGGCCTGCACTTACAGTAGATCATGATCTGAAAGGATGGCCAAAGTTTGACACAGTTATACCAGAGGAAGTACCCTCCCTCAGGTTTTCACACACTTTGTATCAACTCGGCTGCTGTTGTCTAAAGTGGAAAGACAGGGCCTATTAAACCCCACAGAGAGCCCCGTTGTTTCTGTCTGGTTTACAGGGAACAGTTTCATCACATCCATCAGATTGCAGCTGGTAACTTTCCATCCAGACAGGGCCAAATACTCCAAACAATACACTGGAATACTGCTGGCGTCATTGTATAAGTTTGAGAAAAGTCATAAAAACTCATTTCTTTTAACTAAATGTCAAAAAGTAGTTGTTTAGCCACAATCAAACAGCATCACACAGGCTTTAAGTATTAGTTTTCAGCTATTACGTCTAATGTTTAGCAGGAAAATTACAACACAAGTAACAAGGACACAGAGCTCAGGACATTTCAGTCATGTTTTCACTGGTTTCATTCTCATGGTCAGCACTTCCTCAATTTAAACCATAATGCCAAACTAAAAGAGGAACAAGCTCGATTCCAAACTTCATTTTTGGTTTCAGCTTTTGTTTGCTGTAATACTTAAAGAAATTCCAACATGAGTAAATCTTACTGGGGATTTGTTGTGATTGATAGTCAGAAAACAAGTAGATCATATGTTCCTGCACAGCCAGGAGAGTCTGATTTGTGTTAAATTAAATCACAGTGTCATTTTATTAAGTTTTGTTTTTTAAGGTCACATCGCTGCAGCACTTGAACAAACAATGAGAGAAGTTGATGCATACAAGGGTACGCCATGGAGTGTGTGATAACAGGCAATGCCTATTTTAACAGTGTGACTGTTTGCACAAATACATGCAAATACATTTGAAATAATTATAGACATACTGTAACTGCTTATAATCTACTCTAAATCATACCTCCTAATTATGCAGGAAATGCATTTAAATATGATTGGCTCATAGAGGACATGACTCTCGGCCATTAGGAACTAGGTGATCATATGAATCTGACAACCGGGTGATATGAACGCACAGACAGTTTAGGGTCCAGCTTGTTTCACACTTTCAGTTCCCATTTGTCTGGTGAAGTCAGCGACGTTGCGTGTTTCACAGTGAAGCAATAAGATAAAGTTAACATTCATCACAAGCTTCAAGGACCAGGATTCTCATGCTGCCTTGTTTACATGATGGACGGCTATGTTATACCACCTGTAAGTGCTGCTGCTCTATTGTTTCATGTCTGGTCTTTGATTATTGTTCTGGACACTGAGATGATATTTTTCCATTTAGTCTCCTGCTGATGTGTTTCTCTTGCTGCTTCTAAAAATGGTTTAGTGACTCGAGAGACTGGGGTGGGACTTAGAACTCAGACTTATTGATTAATGTGACTGACAGGAAGAAGAAGATTTACCTTTAAGAGTTTTGTTAGTATATATTAAGGACCTTTTTTGCTGTAAAAATTGGGAAAGTAAACCTTAACATACAGTAAACCCTCGCTCGTGTACAAACTCATGTATTTCCCCTGCTGACCTGCTCCGTTCTGTTACTTTATTCTTCACTTTCCTGTTTTATGTTCTATTAAAAGCAAGAAAGGCAAAGTTAGACACAGAAATCCAAGTAATTCTAGTGTAACAACTAATAGTCATATTTGACTTTTTTTTCAGCACAAAGAGACCCAAACTTTGACTTTCTCTGTGACATAAATCTATTTTTCCCCCTCCAAAGGCATCAGAGGAAATCCTTCCAAATGAACCAGAGAACTATCGACCTCCTGCAGAGCTGTACCCGTACCTCACTAATGTGGGGGAGATTTATGAAGGTGAGACGACTACCATTGAAAAGAGCACAAATCACTACACAACTGGGTGCCTCACCTTCTGTCACATTTCAGACCACAGATGGACCTTCCACTCGGAGCGTGTCCAGCCAACGGACTTTGAGAACTCTCCAGTGAATCACCTCGTAGAGCTTCAGCCGGTGTCTCCACAACAACTGGTGCAGCCGTACCGCTTCAGCAGTGAGTCTCTGCCCCTCCACCTGGACCCTTCACTTGGACCTCTCTCTGTGTCACCACAAGTGAGTTGATGGTAGAAATGGATGTTGGGTCAATTGTGAAATGGCATAATTTGTACAATTATGGCTTAAAATATTTATTTGAAAGCACATTGATAGGAAAAAAGACCCCTAAACTTAATATGAGGTTGGTTTTAAATGTCATGTTATAATTAGAAGTAGTGTTTTTATACTGATGAAAAGGCGTCATGTCAAGTATTACTACATTATGTGATTCATATAATTCATATTACTCACAGAATTTCCCTAGAATAAAGAGACATTTACCCACTGCGGTCAAGTACCTGTAGGGTTTTTTTCTATTTATTTTTGGCACTACTTCAGCACAGCTTTTCCCTTTTTAAAGCTCCAGTTTGTAGGACTTAGGGGGGTATACTGGCAGAAATGGAATAAGATACAATACGTATGTTTTCTTTAGTGTAGAATCACCTGAAAATGAGAATTGTTGAGTTTTCATTACCTTAGAATGAGCTGTTTATCTGTACATCAGGAGTGGGTCATTGTCTACAGAGATCGCCATGTTGCACTGCATTATGTACAGTAGCCTAGAACAGACAAACCAAACACTGGCTCTAGATAGGGCCATTGGTGTTTTCACATCGGCCACCATAGTTAGCAGCCCCTCTGCGAAGAGAGCATCATAAAAACACTTATTTCTTTAATGCTTTATTAGCATTTTTATCAGTTTAATCTTTGGGTTTGTATGTTTGGAGAGGAACAGACCTCTACAGATAATTCGGCTCCCGGTAAAAATTTCCTGAACACGGGCTCTTAAGTTATCAGAGAATAAAGGTGAGCACACATCAGCAGATGCTGGGCAAGCAGCCCATCTCCGACATGCCCAACAGAATTATCCACAGAGACGTCTGCAGATAATTCAGCTCTCGCTAAAAACCTCTTGAACAAAAAACACTAAAGGAATTCTAACCGGGAGAAGTTTCAGCTAGTTGCAATCTGCAGTCCTCACCACTAGATGCTACTAAATCCCTGCAAATCTTACACACTGCTCCTTTACATGAAAATGATTGCAAATTAAAATGTAAACAAGGGTTGCAACTAATAATGATTAATTTAGTCCATGAAATGTCAGAAAACTGTACAAAGCGCCCATCACTATTGGCCATAGCCCAATTTGAGTCATTCAGACAGCTGGATTTATCCAACCAACAGATTAAAACCCAAAGATATTCAGTTTACTATGAGACAAAGAAAATCAGCAAACATTCACATTTAAGAAGCTTGACTCAGGGAATTTGGGGGATTTTTCCTTAAAATGTGTCAAATAACCTATTAACCACATTGTTGCTGCTAATATACATACATATGTGGATATACATGCACCAGAATTGAATACTTTGGGTAAAAAGAAAGGATTATTTGGACTTAATATATTGCTGCTACCATAGTAACAACACAATATATATAATGGGAATTATTTTGTAGAAAACTTTCTGCATTTAGATAGTTTGGAATCTAAAAAAAACACAAAAATCTCCACCAACACAGCACAAGATGTGGACAGCTGGGGATATTTTCACTGAAATGTCATCTGCGTCACGTGATCTTGCTGAGCATTGAATTCTATTTTGGCAGAGTTACTTCTTCTTTTAGGACAATGACAGTGTTAAAACGAAAATGTCAGACGGTGGACGATTGCAAAACAAAAGAAAATTGCAGCACTATGAGCCCTCTCTGCATGCTTGAGCTGTGACATGCTTTTAATTTCTCCTAAAGATCCCGTATTACACGCCATCCTCGTGCTACCAGTACCAACCCTCTGCCTCGCCTGGACATTACTACTCAGAGGAGGAACAAAGAGGAATCAGTCCTCCATTTGAGGTTTCAGAAGGGGAGGATGAATTTGAAGTCCACAGCCACTCCTCCTTCAGGAAAGACACTAGTAAGTATTTCCAATGCACATTTTCTACTGGCATCAAATCCAAGTCTACTTAAAGTCATATATTTACAGTACATATAAAAACTGGAGAAACGGATAACTGCCAAACAAAATCGCTTTAACAGGTCTCCTATTTTCCAATCAAGGCAACAAGAAGAAAATCCGCCTGTACCAGTTCCTCCTGGACTTGCTAAGAAGGGGTGACATGAGTGAAAGTATCTGGTGGGTGGACCAGGAGAAGGGCATCTTTCAGTTCTCCACAAAACACAAAGAAGTTCTGGCCAGCCACTGGGGTACCCAGAAAGGAAACCGCAAAAAAATGACTTACCAAAAAATGGCTCGAGCTCTGAGGAACTATGGTAAATCTGGAGAGATTAAAAAAGTAAAGAAGAAGCTGACCTACCAGTTCAGTGAGGAAGTGCTGAGGAACTTCTATTTACGTCAGTATCCTCACTGATGAGGGAATAAAGGCTGTCAAAATGCTGAAATCACTTAACTAGCCTAGATTGTGTTTTCCTGCAATTTCACTTAGTAGTTTTTCTACAAAGTTTTCTTACCTATTTATTTGTGATGCCAGTGTACATCCTCTACGATATTTGTTTCCATACAAACTCTTTCATTTCAAACTCAAATGGATTTTTGTGAGTGAATTCATGTGTTTGTGTACTAGGATTAAAGCATAATTAAACATCAGGGATGAAAAAAAAATACCTACATGATCTTTTTGTCACAAAGGTGTGTAAATAAATATTATGTTCCATTACTTTTTGTTGTATTACTTGAATAAACTAAATCAGTCTTTAAAGGTCTAGTCAAGTGGTTCCTTACTGGTGAGTCGCAGCCCAAATGTGGGTCGTGGTTCCCTTCTGAATGAACCACAAGTGACCTGCGAATGTGTCAAGTTTGTAATAAAAAATAAAATACACCTGATTTTGAAGTACAGTGATTTTCCAGCACTGAGCTTTTATTCTGAAGTGCTTTTTCCTGCTGTAGAGTAAGTGAATAACAGACAGCTACATGACAGAGACATCAAACTTGCTTAATGACACTGAATATATTGAACTGTGTGGACCTTGAACTAATGACTAAGGAGAAATCTGGACCCATGGCTGGACCAGCTGAGAACCACTGGTCTAATCTGTGAGATTTAGTGGCATCTAGTGGTGAGGTTACAGACCTAAAACTTCTCCAGGTGCTATGTTTGTAGGAGAATAATGGCAGGCCCTGTCTAGAGCCAGTGTCTGTTTTGGCCATTCAGGGCTATTGTTGAAACAACGTGGCATACTCCAGGGAGGAGAACCTGCTTCATATGTAGATATATATACAGCTCATTCTAAGGTAACAAAAAAACAGCAAATCTTATTTTTAGGTGATAATAAAATGATGAAAACATAATTATGAGTGTTACATACCATTTCTGCCAACAGCTGCCCCTAAATCCAATACACTGGACCTTTACACAAGCACAAAACATGTTCTGGGGCACAGTGGATGTGTGCATATATCAGAGCATTTTTAAACTGTAGAAAGGGAGAGCAACAGACAGATTAGGCAGTAAACAGCTGCAGTAATTAGCAGTGATTAAACAACAAAGAGAATTACAGCATACAATCAAGAAAGACAAAACAGCAGAGATGAATGTACCAGATAAATGGTGAAACCTAACATGCAGTTTCATGCAGACTGTGAAGATGTGGGGAAACTGGCAGGGCGTTGACCAGAAGACCTATTGTGCTCCATGCAGGTCTGGACAGAGGATACACTGCAGAATCAAACAAAGACAAAACTTTTACTATACAGAGAGAGAGAGAGAGAGAGAGAGAGAGAGAGAGAGAAGATAAATCATATGAAATATAATCACAGATTACACTTGATGGTAATAAAGATATGAATAATTACAGAGCAAACACTGGCCTAGTCAGACCCAAATTTAAAAAACGACTACAGACAGGGGTCATGGTCTGAAACAGACATATTAATCTTATGAAAAGACAGAGTAGGGATGAGACAGACTATAGACCTGTAAGACTGTCTAACGTTAAGTTACCTTGTTTTGTTCCTGATAGATACATCTGGTCTGAAATCTAGCTCATCCTGGTGGAGCAGCGAATTGTAACTGGTCTTAAGTATTTGCTTAAAACTAATTTGTGTAACAATATTAAATACTATCGCATATTCCCTCATATTACAAGTAAATCCTTGCGATTTAGCGCTAATGCTATGGCTTTAACAATCTATTTTATTCAATGACTTCACAAAATAAATCGCGAACTAATTACATCGTGAAATACGCCCGTTTTGGCTTCTTTAACTTTAATAGAGTACTTCTACAATATTATGAGCTAAAAAAAAAAATACAATAATATGATAATTTACTTTTTTAGGATTTGCAACCTGTAATTTTCCTAACGGGTGAATATTTTTCAAGTTACCAAGTACCGCCCCACAAAACAGTTTCCGGTGACGTCACGCTAATCGGCCAATCAGAGCCCAGACGTTGTTTCGGTGCAAATTTCAAACCCGTCCAGTCGACAAACGAACGGGTCGTCACAGTCGGACAACCGCGGCCACACCAATGTAAACTCGTTTTTTTACGTTGAAAGACCGCTTTTGCGTTAACAAAGATTGTTTTTTGAAAACGTTTTAGGAGTCTGCGGTGGTAACATGAGAGTGAGGTTAGTAACGTAACATTCTTTTATCAATTGGAGTTTCATTTGTTTATGCTAACAGAGTATACTCAGTTAGCAAACTCATTTCCTGATTAGCCTGCTGATTTTAGATAAAGCTAACGTTAGCTAACTTTCGACGCACAAAGCTTGTTCCACGCTGGGACGGAGTAGTCGTCTGTGTGCTACAATGAGTAATTTTGAATGGTAATTAAATTTTATGTTAATCTCATGTCACTCATTGTGAAGGTGGTTTCATTTAACGTCACAACTACGGCGTCAGGAAGCTAGCTAACGTTAGCTTGCTATGTGAATGAAATTATTGTGACATCCAATGTCAGCCTGCTGCTACAAGCAGAGTTTGCCAGCTGATTTTAAATCACTCGCTAGCGCTTACGTTAATACTGGACTGGTTTGACCGGTAGTTAACAGGTGTTTTCAACTCCAGAAACCTGACTCATTCCCACCACTGCTTTTCTTTCCAGTGAAGTCCACGCAGCAGAGTCTGTTGCCTACCTCAACAGAGCACTGGTCAGGCTGCAGGATATTTGGGAAGAAATCGGGATTCCAGAGGAACAGCGCCTACAGAGAACCAATGATGTTCACAAGCACATTAAAGTGAGTCTTACATCAATCTAGATAAGATTTAGAGTCTGGTTGTTGACCTGACAAAGCTACCACATTGACACTTTTTTGTTTTCTCTTTTGTTTTCCCTTGTCAAAATCTCAAATTCTACTCCTGAACACCTCTAACAAAGGAAATGTCAGTAGATTTTAGAGGGCTGCAACCCTCTATCCCTGCTTTATCAATTGGTGGCCAATACAAACTGTTACAGACTACAAGTACCTTGGCATCATGCTTGACCACAGGCTTAAATGGGACCTGTGGACTGACTTCATAAGTACTACTACACAACAAAGAATGTACTTTTGAAAGAAATTATCTTATGATGTCCACAACAACATGCTCAGAATGTTTTATTGTACTTTTATTGAAAGTGTTTCATCCTTCTGCATCATCTTCTGGTTTGGTAATGCTACTCAGGCACAGAAAAAGACTGTTAGAACAACTGTTTGAACTGCTAATAAACTACTAAGAATTAGTTTACCAAGTACATAATATATATGGAGACAGAATGATGACGAAGGCTTCCTCATTCAATCTGTTCCCATCTGGGTGATGATATTTTTCTTCTGTATTCACTAAAAACAGAGCCATGTTTTCATTTGTTCCACAAGCCATTAAGTTTTTAAACAGATAATGTACTAGCACCTTATACTATATGCACTGTGGCCATTTTGTCCTGGTCCTAAAAGATGTCCAGCTGGTCTGGTCTATCCCCCATCCTACTAGTATTTGTATGGGCATAGATTGGTGTATGTCTATGGCTGTTTTTGGTGTGTGTGACTTTCATATGTATATTTATGGTGATTTTTGTGATTGTATGATAAATTGCCTTTATGATTATGCTGCAAACCAATTTCCCCACTGGGAAAATTAAAAGTATCTATCTTTCTTGTCATGCAGGGTCTATTGGACCTAATGATTGCAGAAGAAGAGGAGCTCAAGAAGAGATTACTGAAAAGCATTCAGTCATGTCTCAAGGAACTTAATCATTTGTGCAGTGAACTTCAGATGCCCCCCTTTGAGGTACAGTGTTGTTTAGAAGTATGTGTTTGTTTGCTTATACCTGTTTGGGGAAATTGTTAGTATGTTTGGACTAACTTTCTGGATTTCTGTGAAGGAGGAAGATGGCTGCACCATGTTGCAGATGGAGAAGAACAGCCGCACACGTCTTGAAGTGATGAAGGAGCACAAGAAGCAAAGAATGGATGAGCTTAAAGGCCTCATAGGCAAAGACCGTGAGCTGTGTGATATTATGTGCACTACCCCATTTTGCATTGACCCAGACTCCATCCCATCCCTGACGCAACTTGAGACATATCGCACCTACCTGGATGATCTGACCAAAGAGAAGGTGGTTAATGACATTCTGCTTTTCTTCATTACCTTCATTACTTACTTGTCTTTTGTTTTGAGGGTTGTAACCTGTTCATTTGCTTTGATTTTTTTTCCTAGGAACGTCGTCATAATGAGTTTGTCAGCCTCAAAAAGGAGATCGTTGTATGCATGGATGATCTGGAGCAGAGCCCAGAGACCAGTTTTGAGACGGATGTGATGTGTGAGGATGAGGAGGCATTTTGTCTGTCAAATGACAACATTGCTGCTCTTAAACTACTCCTCAGTCAGGTGATTTTGTAATATTTGCATCTAGTTTGTGAATCTTGGCGCTACGATTTAAGTCAACAATATCATGTATTGTGTCATATTGTAATGGATGTATGATTTTTGTGCCTCCCTCCAGTTACAAGACCGCAAGGCTGAAAATGAGCTCCGTTGTTCAGCTTTCCGCACTAAAATCCAGGAGCTGTGGGAAAGACTTGAGATTCCTCAAGAGGAGAGGGAGGCCCTCTCTGAGCATATGGTCAAGTCAAAGAAGAGAAACATTGAGGCAGTAAGAAATTTAGCCTATGTGGTCATTTATATTAATAAGTGATTTCAGACAATGCATTGATGGGTTGTTTCACCAAACACCTACATCACAAGTTTTAATAATGTGCATTCTGTCTTTCCAGCTCCGGGCTGAGGTCCAGCGTCTCGAGGTGCTAAAATTGCAGAGCATGAAAAGAGTCATTGAGGCTGTTAGAGCTGAGATTGCTCTTTTCTGGGAGAGATGCTTCTACAGCCCAGAACAGCAGGAAGCTTTTGTTCACTATCATGATGGTGAATATCTGTTGAAAATGACAAAGCCCTCACACCAAAAATATGCGGTTAATAATCACAAATAGAGCTTGGGTCTCAGTCCATGTTTTCTCTCTGCAGATGATTTCACTGAAGACCTTCTCAACCTGCACGAGGCAGAGGTCAGGACCCTGAAGAAGTGCTACGAGGACCACAGAGAACTCTTTGAGGGAGTCAGAAAATGGCAGGAGAACTGGACCTTGTACTTGGAACTTGACGTAAGAACTATAATCCTGGTGAATTTAGTGGGTAAGCATTTAAAAGTCATGTTGATGTGGTAACACATGGATGTATTTACCTCTTTCCATCTCAGAAAAAGGCAAATGATCCCTCAAGGTTCAACAACAGAGGTGGGAACCTTCTGAAAGAAGAGAAGCAGAGAGCTGACCTGCAGAAAAGTCTGCCTAAGGTGAGGAAATGTTTAGATGTAGTGTTTAGTGACATGTTGCATGTGTTCAGTCAATACAAAAACGGTAGTGCTCAGGCAAACCATGTGCGAGGAGAGTGGAAACAGCTGTGACATTGTTGGTGCATTACCAAATCCGTCCAACAGATGGCGATATTAAATAGTAATTACCTTAATCTGTAGTCCCTGTGTGGGCATTTTAGAAACTGGATTTTTTCAAATGTAATTTAGACTGACAGTCCACTGCCGATAGTAAATGTGATTACATATAAACAAGGCAAAACTTGTGTTTTCTGGTTGTTCCAGCTGGAAAAGAGTCTCAAAGCCCAAATTGATGTTTGGGAGCAGGAGCATGGCAAGGAATTCCTGGTCAATGGACAGAAATTTCTCGAGTACGTGCAGCAGCAGTGGGAGCACCACCACGCTGAAAAGGAGAAAGAGAAACTGGAGCGGGTGTGTTATTACTTTGAATAAAAGCTACAACAGGCGTTAAATTTCCCCGTTACAAAAGGATTCTCAACATGACTGTATTCTTCTTTTTGTCTGAATCAGCAAATGAAGAAAACTAAACAGATACAGGAGGACATGTTATATGGAACTTCAATGAGAACACCATCCAAAAGGCGAGTAGCAGGGACTCCCACACCAGGGAAAGTAAGAAAGGTAAGATGGTGCTGCAGTTTTATTGGATTCATTTCATTAACTGACTGTACCAGGGCAAGTGAATAGATTTAAAAGTTGACCCACTTTTTCTTCTGTCCTCTTAGCTCAATGGCACCTCAACCATCTCCACTCCGAACAGCTTCCTCAGTTCAGGCCTCGGTGGAACCATGTGCCAGTCCTCCATCCAGAAACCTCCTCTGTCTGCCAGCAAGGTATGCTTACTGTTGTCCTTTTGATGCATCTCACTGACAATATTTACGTTGTGTTTTTAACAGCCTTTTGGACTTTGAAGGTAAGATTGATAAGCTCTGTATCTGACTCTTATTCTTTATGGTAATGTAGTTAGGCAGAGTGCAATTTGGCCTCCATTGTTGTGCATCTTGCATATGGAAGATTTGTCAGTGCAGGTAAACACTTGTAAATTAACTTTTCAGATTTGGTTTTGTTTTGTCCCTATGTACTCAACAATTTGAGTTTACTGTACAAACCATGACAGTGATGGATGGATGCAGAGAAGATGGACAATAGATAGTTCTTCTTCATTGAATATTTCGCCCCTCTAATGAGCATTTGTATATCAATAACCCATCCTGTGTTACCATGACCTCTGAAGAAATCTGTTTATTTCTCGCATGCCTGTGGTGCCTGTCTTTTTGAATGAAGTCGTAGGGGATCATTTACAAACTCACACAACTTGTGCAGTATGATCCAAGTCTCATTTAGCCAGTGTTATGCTCAAGACCTCTCAAAACAGACAGACCTTTCCAGTGGGGAACTGAATAGAATATGAAGCTTATCTTTGCTCTCTTTAATGCCAGACTCCAGGGACAAAGGCAGTAATTTTACTTCGTTGAATGTAGGAGCTGCTATCTAACTCTTTAAAGCACTGAAATTGCACAATAACATCAGCTATTCAGTAGATCAGCAACTCCCACATTGAGTTAAAATTACTGTTTCTTCCAATGGAGTCTGGCTTTGAAGAGAGCCTGTATTACGTGCAACTTATTGTGTTCCCCGTGGGAAAGGACTGGCTGTTCGGGAAGTACTGAGCATATGACTGGATAAATGGGACTTGAATTATACTGCCAAGTTGTGAGCGTTTGTGGACGGGTGTTTTGATACAACTTTTCTGATTTTGGACATGGCCCCATATGACTTAAAAACAGTTGGATTCTTCAATCACCTGAGGCATGTGAGAAAAAAGGTTTCCTCCCAGATTCAAAGTTACATGGAGTTAGTAATTGACATACATATGATAATTTATTGGGTGAAGTATTGTTGTTGCTCTTAGTGTGAACAGTAAGCCCAGATTTTCCAGTATTTACGATTTAAGATGATTCTTTTATGTAAATTTTATACAATCAAGATGATCTCAAACCCCACTGTTCATGTTAGTCCCTGTGCTCACCTTAATGATTCAACAGTGCTAGTCAGTTTAAATAAGGAAACCCCATCTGTCAGTTTATATGATACTAAATGCATAAATGAAGCATTGGGAAATTCTACCAAAAGCTGCTCTTGTGATACTTGGATGTGGCAGCTTTGCAGAAATGCACTGACAATGTGCAATGTGAGACTATGGGGCTTTGTTTTCATTGTAAGCATGTGTTTCATCCTTTTTATCACATCACTGGTGTCCTATAGTTTGAAATAGAGTAAAATAAATAAGGTGACAAAAAAGCACATTATCATTATAGTTGGTCTTGTTGTAGGGTCTCGGACTGCGAACCCCTGGACATGGAAAGACTCCCCGTGCACTAGACCGAAACAAGGAAAACATCTCCCATCTTAGAAACACTCCAAGTGGCACACTAAGGTCTCAGGATACTCAAGATCACACCTTCACCTTTAACTCTGTTGCTGGCTCCTATTCGGAATTTGCGGTAAATGCGTTTTTACATCTATTTAGTCCTGAACTACAAAAAGTCCACTAAAGTACAATCTGATGAAGTAAGTCACCATTTTTTCTGGATGACATTACGGCCATAATGTACCACAAACAGCAATATTCCTAGTCCAAGTCTGTAGGATTATATAGTTACTTTTATGGTTTACCATGTAACCACCATCTGGCATCACTAATGAGCTAAAACAGAATTTCAGTTACACCTTTTTGACTTGGACTAGTCCTGGAAATTACATATGTAAATCTGAAGATTTTCCCCTTTTTGAAAAATGTCTTTTTTGTTGCTACAGATTTAAGACACAATTTATTTTTGTATTTTTACAGACACATCTCAGAATGTGTCATTTTTTAAGACTTGAAAAAGGTGGAACATCAGCCACCTGTAAAGCCCAGTTCAGACCAAAGATCTGTGACGAGACAAAACCTTTTTAGAACGTTGAAGTGGTGTAAACTGGCCAGTCTTAGCTTGAGTCAAGCCGGCTGGTGGTGTCACCTGCAACTCAGCTGGTCAAATCGCTGGTGGCTGGTTTTAGAATGTAAAACATGCCACCTGTTTCTACAGCCAGTTGCTTGCTGTGGCAGGTAATCTGTCCCCACCAAGCCACAGGCATTCTCACAAAATAAGCCTGAAATCTGGAAATCAGAATGGAAGTACGGAGAGTTGTTGCATAGCAATGATACACCGTCTAGTTGCATTGGTGTGAACCGTTTTTACAGCATTGGAGAATGGTGCATTGCAAGTAGTTGGCTATGTCAACTCGTCTCGTTGTGAATCTTTGATCTGAACTGGGCTCTAAGTGACAAAATGATTGCTAGCAAAATGACCAACTTTGATTTGAAAAAGCTTTCTTTAAAAAAAGCTATGAGCCATCTTTGGTGTTAAGTTGGCTGTGTAGTAACAATATAGGTAATTAAATGGAGCAGCTAAAAAGCAACAATGCATACCTCTACTAAAACTACATAATGTTAATGTTTAAGATATGATAAAACTTTATTGATCCCACACGGGATAGAATAATAATAGGCAACAGAGTACTTATAGATTTAATGAAGATAAAATACAAAAATATATATTAAAAATTAGAAAAATATAAAATACTAAACAGACACAAATATGCTCTCAATACTATTTACACTATATATACACCTTTCAATTATGATCACACACAACTCACATAGTGGCAGACAAAGCAGACGTACAATAAATACACGCACCAGGTTTTTATTAATCGAGTTTATTTGAGCAGTATATCCTGACAAAATGGTGAAAAAAGTTTAAACATTCCACTTTAAATCTTTAAAACAAATCCTGATATACCAAAGAATCAATCACTGAGCAGCAGTTAAACTTTCCACCCCATCACTTTGAAACCTGCATGTCATGACAAAAATGCTTTTCTAAAATAAATATATACATTTCATATAACCATATCACAAGCTAACATGTAAATGCACACACAGATATTTTGACATCTTAGATATGAACAAAATCAAATGATTGAATGTATAAGTCAAAGATGCTGACAGTTAACTCTAACTTGTCTTTACAGAGAGACCTCTCGAAGGCTTCTAAATCGAACGTGAAGTCAGGAGTGTTGAACTCCACTGTCAGTCATCAGTGAGGGGTCCAAGGAGCCAGAAGTCATCCAGCTCAGCGGTAGTTTCAAATGATGGGCAAGAGGGAACTTTAATGTAAACTTCTTTCAAAAAATGTAAATATTTCAATCTGTGTGAACATCTTCAGTCTCCATCTATCCTATTGTTTTTAAGACTTCATTTCAGGTTCACTGCTGGAGCAGTTTTCTCTGCTGTATGTATTTATGAGGCAGGTTAACGCTTTTTGTACCGAGGCTGTTGTGGCTTTTTATTTTACATTTTTCTTTTGGGGGCACAGCCTTTTCAATGAAACATTAACCATATCTAGAGCACTACTTTGTTTATAGTACTGTAGCAGCTAGCCAACACACCACAATTTTATTCTTCCAGCTGGGATGACAGCTACATTTGCTCTTCAGAAACTAAATATTTTGAGTGCTTTTTTTAAAATCACACTGTAAATAAACATTTTAAACAAACGTTCGTCCTTACTAAGTGTACCTATGTATGATCTTGTGTCATTTCTGACTGTACCTGAATGTTTTCTTTCTAGCCTGTATGGTTGAGTTGTATAGGATTTATGTTAAAGGAGTATTTCAACCATAAAAAGGCCATTTGTATTCAATAGCCCCTTTTACACTGCCTCGTCAAGGTGGGAATTTCATGCTGCTGTTCCACCTCGTCATTCTGTATAAAAGGTACAATGGGACAACCGGCAGGACGGGATCATGTGCGGCATGGGTGAAAACTTAAGCTTATAGCAGTTAGCAGCTAACTCAAATAAGGGAGTGATCACACTGAGATGAAATACGACGCCAGTTAAACCATTGTTTTCCTATGATACGGCGCGTCTGACCGGCATTCAAACATCTTTTTAGATGGGCGTTTTTCCAGCATCTTTTTAGAGACACGTTTTTGTAGACGTGCGTTTTTAGACACACGAAGATGCTGAAAAGTTAAAATATTTTCTATACTTTTTGAGCGTCAGACACCAGTAGCTAGCGCGCATTGAATAAGCGCTTCCAGCGTTTCAAGCGTCTTTGAAGTGTCCGCGTCTCTAGTGTCTCATTTCTGTGATCACCCCCTAACTGGCTGAAAATGGGAGCTCCTTGCCCTAACACAAGATGAGTAATTGATATACAAATGGTCCTTTTGTGGGTGAAGTATTCCTTTAACTGAGTCCAAGTCAGAAGGCAGAATCCGTTAAATATTATATTTTGATCATATACTGTATCTTATTACATACACACGAGTACATTTCACATATTGTAGAAAATCATCCTCCATGCAGACTAGAAATGTGAAGATATTCTCTTTAAGCCATGCGTGTCATGAGTTCTTCAAGAGCCCTCTCGCGGTGATTTTCATGAACAAGCAGCACTTCTTTGATTGCACTTTGCTGGAAACCCATCTCATTAAACTGAGTCAGTAGACGCAGGAACTCTGCAGCCTGAAAAAGAATTTAAAGTCAGTTACAATACACAATAAGTGTTGGCTGTGGGGTTGCATTTTTATAACCTATTCAGTAAGCACACTGACAAGCAGGGGTCACCTTGCTCTCACAGTTCTGAAACATTTCCAAGGCCTCTTCCACCTGTGCTTCATCATAACCCAGCTGACACAGACGGTCGCTGGCTACCAGGTACTTCAGGATCTGTTGATAACAGGACAAATAATTATGATGCGATCGGCCTTGATACAGCACAAAGAGCACAAGTTAGAATTCTAGATAAATGTTAAGTACTTCTTCACACTACGTTTGACAGCTAAATGTAATATGTGAGTTTCCTTATTGCAGTTATCAAGTCCATAGTTATTAAAGGCAACTCAAAAATATTTTATTTATGCATTATTAACTATTGACACATGTAAACACAAAGTGGTGCCCACCTTCTCTGGGCTGTGATAGCCTGTCTTCTGCAGAGCCAGAATAGCTGTGCGTAAAGGGTAGCCCTTCTCTGTGATGGTCTCAAGTAGCTCCCTCTCTTCTTGACTCAGTGCTGACAGCAACTCTGCTGATGAGTCAAAGAAAACCCCACGTGGGCCGCCGGTCCTCAGGGCCTGATGATAAGAGGAAAACAGATAAAAATAGTCAGTTATGGAAAATAGGTAAATGGAAAGAAATGATAAATGTCTTTCTCAGAGCAGGGTCATAATCAACTAACACTGGGGTGAAGGGGCCTTCTATGGCCCAAACCTTCAGCATGAAATTCCTCACAAGGGGAATTTTTAAAATAGAGGGCTTAACTTTGAAACATTTCTGAAAAAAATATTTCAGAAGAGGGGCTTTCAAAGTTTTGATAATTGGATACCATTTTAGGGGTCCAGCATATATAGCATCACTTCACTTACTACAGTTTTTATTAGATAATGAACTGCCTTTTATGCCATGCTACCTTATTTTTTCACATTTTTATGACATACTATAGTATGACATTTTTTCATATTTTTATGACATACTATACTATGACGTTTTTTCATGATTTTGGACAACATGCTATACTATGACTTTTTTCATGATTTTGGACTACATACTATACCAAGGCTTTTTTTCATGATTTTGGAAAACATGCTATACTATGACATTTTTATATGATTTTGAACGACATACTATACTATGACTTTTTTTCATGAATTTGGACGACATGCTATACTATGACTTTTTTTCATGATTTTGGACGACATCATATACTATGACATTTTTATATGATTTTGGACGACATACTATACCATTACTTTTTTTCATGATTTTGGATGACATGCTATGCTATGCTATGACGTTTTTTTTCATAATTTTGGATGACATGCCATACAATGACTTTTTTTCACATTTTTATGACATACTATACTGTGACGTTTTTCATATTTTTATGACATACTAAACTATGATGTTTTTTCGCATTTTGGACGACATACTATACTATCATGTTTTTTCGTATTTTTATGACATACTATACTATAACGTTTTTCGCTATCTTATGATATACTATAATATGATGTCTTTTTGCATTTTTATGACATACTATACTATGACTTTTTTGACATACTCTGCTATGATGTTTTTTTCACATTTTTATGACACTGTGCTATGACGTTGTTTCGCGTTTTTATGACAGACTATACTATGACTTTTTTTCGCATTTTTATGACAGACTATACTATGACGTTTTTTCACATTGTTATGACATACTACACTATGACGTTTTTTCACATACTTATGACATACTATACTGACATTTTTTCATAATTTTATGACATACTAATCTATGAATTTTTTTTGACATACTATACTGTGACCTTTTTTCACATTCTTTTGACATACTATACTATGACTTTTTCCCCCGCATTTTTATGACATACTATACTATAACATTTTTATAACATTCTATACAATAACATTTTTATGACATACTATACTATAACATTTTTATAACATTCTATACAATAACATTTTTATGACATACTATACTATGACATTTTTTAAAATTTTTATGACATACTATACTAGGATGTTTTTTTTTGGACATACTATACTATGACATTTTTTCATAATTTTATGACATCCTAATCTATGACGTTTCTTTCACATACTATACTATGACGTTTTTTCATAATTTTATGACATGCTAATCTATGAAGTTTTTTTGACATACTATACTATGATATTTTTTTTAATTTTTATGACATACCAATCTATGAAGTTTTTATGACATACTATACTATGACACTTTTTCAAATTTTTATGACATACTATACTATAACATTTTTATGACATACTATACTACGATATTTTTTTAATTTTTATGACATACCAATCTATGAAGTTTTTATGACATACTATACTATGACGTTTTTTTTTTTTTTTTACATACTATACTATGACATTTTTGTTTTGTTTTTTTGAATATTTTTGTTAGCCTTTAATTGATAGGACAGACAACAGTGAGGGGGTGAGGGAGAGAGGGAGTGACATGTAGCAAAGGGCCACAGGCTGGAGTTGAAGCTGGGCCGCTGCGGCAGCAGCCTTGTACTTGGGGCGCCTGCTCTATCCACCAAGCCACGGACGCCCCACGTTTTTTCACATTTTTATGACAACTATAGTATGACTTTTTTTCCGCATTTTTATGACATAATATACTATGATGTTTTTTCACATTTTTATGACATACTATACTATGACGTGTTTTCACATTTTTATGACAACTATAGTATGACTTTTTTCTGCATTTTTATGACATAATATACTATGATGTTTTTTCACATTTTTATGACATACTATACTATGACGTGTTTTCACATTTTTATGACATACTATACCATGACGTTTTTTTCTCGCATTTTTATGACATACTAATCTATGAAGTTTTTTTGACATACTATACTATGACGTTTTGTTGACATATTATACTATGACGTTTTTTCACATTTTTATGACATACTATATTATGAATTTTAAATGACATACTATAATGTTTGTTCACATTTCTATGAGATATTACACTACGTTTTTTCTCAATTTTATTTCATGCTATAGGCTACTATGACTGTTTTTAATTGTAATGGCAAAATATAGTATGAATTTCTTTTTTTGCCATACTATATTATAACTATTTCCTGACATACTATATTGTTACTTTTTATGCCTTTTTAAAAACATTTTTTGACATATTATACTATGACTTTTTATGACCTTGTTAATAACATACTACACTGCAAGTTTTTCCACTGCTTATCTTGACAGGCTAATATACAATGATTTTATAACATTTTTTACATCATGTAGAGATTTTTAGGACATTTCTGTGACGTACTATATTGTGACATTCTCTGTCCTCCCTAGACTGGATGGAGAGTTTGACATAGTTTGAAGCTCATGTCAGCTGTTTACTCCTATTACTAGAGTGTAGATCCCGCTCACCCCACGTCATTTCACTGTTCAGCTTGTGCTTTGTAAATATTACAAAAATGAGGTCACAGATGATGCAACCTATGCTTTGCAGTCTGGACAGAACTAGTATTCGATCTTGCCACGACCTGAACGAGCTGTGATTCTCTCTCCTTTGAACATAAAATGGGTGTGTTCATGTAAAATACATGAAGGTTCACTGTTGTGCTGGAAATAAATGTTGATTATGGACATACCTTATGTGCATTTTCAGAGCATATGAATAGTTGGAATTAACAAATTATTGGAGGGGGGAGATAATTGGATACTTTATAAATACTTGAACCCCCCCAAAGTGTGCTGTGATTATGCCCCAGAGAGACTGACACAAAAGATATTGACCTTCTGTCTGCCGTTTTTGACAACGGGCCCTGCAGAGGAGGGTCGTTGCTTCTGCAGTCTGGGTGGAGAGGGAGCAGGTTGTGTGTTCTGGGAGTACTTCCTGGCCACAGAGACGAGTGAGCGCTGCTTCTTTTTGCTGTTCTTCTGCATGTTGTGGAGGGGGCTGGCCTGCTGTGACCTGTGCTGCTCAAGTGCTTGCAGAGGTTGTCTGCAGTCTTGGCAAGAAGGCAAAGAGGTTCTGTGCCTTCTGAGGCTCTGAGGTGAGACAGGCTTACAGTGCTGAGGGGAAGGACCAAGGTGCATGTCTTTGACTCTGGACAGCGGGTCTCTGGGTGCAGCGCTCCGAGGCCGCTCTCTGTTCTTGATAGAGCAAAGTGCATCATCAGGGGAGGAGGCTTCATTATCCTCGTGGTAACCATCTTCATCCTCAGAGTCAAATATGAGGAACTTGACAGTGCGAGGGTGTAGCCAGCGAGTTTCTGCAGAGTTCAGGCTGTGACTGCGGGGCCGGGGGCTCTGCGCCTGTGTGTCTCTGCGACTGCGGCTCTCCTGAGGGCTGCTGAACATCAGCCAGTAAGGGGGGCAGGATGGGGCCTGACAGACTGGCTGCTGCCCAGTTAAGATCCATTTCTCCAAGGTGAATCCATACTACATTAAAAAGAAACAAGAAATTATTTTTCAGCAACTCTGTTAACACTGGAGGCTTTGACTTGTCATAGTAGGTGTTTCTGAAAAAATACCAATGGCAACAAACCAGCATGTTCAATACCAGGACCCCAGAACTGAAGCTGATAATTTTATTATTTACGCTTGTGCTTTGTCCCTCTGCTACATGCCATAAAATATGACATCTTAATTTAAAAAAAAATCACCTATGATGGTAATATCAATAATTAAATGTAAGTGCATCAAAAATCCGTCAGTATTTTAAAAATCATCAACTTGGATGTTGAATATAAAGTCAGTGGTGATCTACATACTGGCTGTGACAAATCTAATGCAGTTACATGATAGTTGCACTCCAACAGGAATAGTAAATACATTTTAATGAAATTTATACCACATTTTCCAAAAAATTGGCTGATGATAAATTAGGAGAATAAATTATAATCAGAACAGAAGTTGCATAAGAAAAATCTAAAAGCCACTGAGTCAGCAGATTTACTGCAAATAAATTATTTTCCTGACAGACATTAAAGGGACAGTTCATCCCAAAAATAACAATAAATACTTTCCCTCATACCAGTAGCGCTATTTATCAGTCTAGATTGTTTGGGTGTGAGCTGATGAGTGTTGGAGATATCAGCTGTAGAGATATCTGACTTCTCTCAAATACAGTGGAACTAGATGGCACTCAGCTTGTAGTGCTCAAAGCGCCAAAAAAAAAAAAAAAAAAATACATTTGAAAAACTCAACAGCAATGTTTCTCTCCTGAAATCATGACCCAGTTACTCAAGATAATCCACAGACCTTGTTGTGAGCAGTTTCATGTAGGAACTATCTCCTTCCTACCAAACTATACCCACAAACTGAGTTATATAACATTACAGCTCAGTGAGGAGGATGCCATTAATGTTTACATCTCATGCTGTCATGAGCACGAGGCTCTCATCCATTAGTAGATGCACGTTTCCTTCTAAACTGTGATACGGTTGGTGGGTGTAGTTCGGTAGAAAGGAAATAGTTGCTACATGAAACTGCTCACAACAAGGTCTGTGGATTATCTTGAGTAACCAGGGGTCCGTTTCACAAAGCAGGTTTAACAAACTCTGAGTCTAATCCTGAACTCTGAGTTGATCTACTCTGAGATAGGAAACTCTGAGTTTCCGGTTCCAAAACAGCTGATCTGAATCAGTTTAAACAACTCGGAGTAGTTTCACCTGGAGTTAAGTGCGTGCACCACAACTATAAAAAGCCAGCATCAATGGAGCCCCGATTTGACGAGTCACCATGGCAACGGAGAAGAGAAGGGCTGCGTTTTTCACCCCACTAGAATTAGAAATCTTAATGCGCTCATACGGTGAGTTTGCACACGTTTTCAAAAAGAAGTGCAACACCGCTGCAGCTGCAAAAGAGAGGTAGACGGCGTGGGAGAACATTGCTTGCATTGGTCAATGCGTAAGTCTAAATGTAGTCCTTTGCAATCACAATAGTATTACAGGGGAAAACTGCTTGAATGGTAGCCTATTAATTTATTTCATTTAGGTGCAATCCCTCAGGGGAGATGCACACTTGGCAGCAGCTTAAGATGAAATATAAAAATATTGTTCAAACAGGTAAGACCTCGGCATAATCTCATGGGGGTACTTCATTTTGATCATGTTTTACATTGTAAAGTAAATATTACAAGTGGCTGTTTGACTGTGCAGATGTTTTATCCCCAACATAATGCTGTTTTCACACACATAAATGTCTTCTCATCTATATCATGTTCTGTTAAATAATTAAGCCTATTTAAACTAACACAGACTTGTACTCAGCCAACAGAAAGAAGGCAGATGCCCGTAAAACGAGCACACTTTTCTGACTGCCCTGCGTACAGTTGCCTTACTCAAGTGCTCAGCATCTCCGACATTGTACAAAAAACTTCCATTTGCAAAGAAACGCAGCGCAACACACAATATCTGCTGGGATGTGAGAGCATGACTACAATTGGTAATGTTGCAAATGTAAGGACGGATTAGGTTGTGTATGTAGATGATGGACTGTGACGTGAAACGGTACCGCTCAAAAAGATAGCCTAATTGTGTGGAAATGCTAGAACATCTATGCGCGGTCTGATAACCATCTCCCGACGAATACTGAATTCTCTGCGCAGTAATGCTGCACCTTCATCCACGGGATCGTTATCAAAAGGACATGCCATGTTAGTGAAAAAAGTCGCCACCTACTGTGCCTAATGGACTTCTAATACTGTCTCTGATTTTTTAAATGACAGACGGCAGAACTAGGCTACGCCAAAACTCGCCTGCTGACTGAATGAATGAGGAAATCAAATGGCTGTGAAAGAGGGCGGAGACAGAGAGAAACTCGAGGTTCATTGAGAAAAGCCTGGTCCCGACCAGGTTAGGTTCATAGAGTCTGTTACTACGGTAACTGACCGAGAGCTTAAGTTACCTCTCTCTCTCTGAAACAGGCTGGAGTTACCCCTCTTTCTCTGGTTTGAGTTACCTCCCTTTTTGAAATGGAAAACTCAGAGTTTCCCTCATTTCAGGGTTAACAGACTCTGAGTTTTCACTAAACCTGCTTTGTGAAACGGACCCCAGGTCACGATTTAAGTAAAGAGACATTGCAGCTGAGTTTTTCAAATGTATTATTTTGGCGCTTTGAGCACCACAAGCTGAGTGCCATCTAGTTCCATTATACTGGAGAGAAGCCAGACATCTCTACAGCTGATATCTCCAACACTCTGCAACTCATATCAAAACAATCTAGACCGATGAGTAGTACTACAGGTTAGAGGAAATACATTTATATTTGATTTAGGCGTGAACTGTCCCTTTAAACTTATATTAAAAAAAAGCACACGTTCACTTGGGTGTGTGACCTCAGTGTGTCGTAGTATCTGCTGGCAGTCTGGTACAGCGATGTGTGGAGCTGTCACAAGCTGTGCTTCCTCCTCCAGTGGACCAAGTGGAGTCTGAAACGGGACATCCTCCAGAGCGTTCATTTTCACCAACAATTAACCTGCACCCGCAGAAACACAAGACTGCCTGAGTTTTAAGTTTTCAAAACCAGACCTTCACTGCAGTTTTGTTGACACTTACCTCTGTCAAGTGTTCTCTCGTAGGTCCTCAGCCCTCTGAAGCATGGACAGGTGTGTGGAGTAATTCACTAATACAGACATCATCATACGTGATAAGCCTCTTCATCACTAAGCCTCTGACATCATTGGAGTTGTTTACCAGTAACACCCAAGTCACCTGTTGTCAATCTGCCTGCATGAATGCAGTACAAATAATGGATTATTCAAACATATACATATAAATATACACCAGTTATACTAAAATCATTAAACAACAGCCACTAATAATCACTAAAAATTAATTTCTACTTCTATGTTTTACTATTAATACATTAACAATGTAAGATATATTATTTTTCCTCAATATATTATATTATGTATATTTTTTTTATCTATATTCAAAGACACGTTGTCGACAGTGTGACTTTGTAATTTCCATCTGGGCTTGAAAGGGGATTAGGGAATGCTGAGGTACTGGGAAACTGAACAGCACGATACTTTCCAGAGATTAGCCGATTAAAAAAGGTGACTGTGTGCCAGTTTGAAACAACATTGTGATGTGTATTTCATTGTTTAACTGATTTGCTGTGTGTCGAGAAAGAGTGAGAAACAACTAACCAAATTAATTTAAAGTGTACATTGTGGTCTGCAGACAAGTTCAAAGGTAAAGAAGAGGTTAAAATTCTGTACAGAGATTTACATTTTATTCATATATTTTAAACAATCACAATAAGTTTAAGATTCACAAACGTGTGTGGGGGGAGGGGGGTTACAGGTTCTGTAACAGACCTCTGAAAAGCAGTTTTTAATCAAAAGAAAAGGAAACTTAAAAGCAAAAAGGAAGAACAGATCTAGTTTTAATCTTATTTTATAGCACAAACAGCATCTTTAAAGAGTACAGCAGCGTGGTTCAGTTCAGTCAGAGAGCATTTAGGTAGAGGTTACAGACGTGTGTATTGAGATACCACTTAGTAACAGGATATTACATCACTAACGGTGAGGTGAGTTTCTGACGCTGGGGAACGCACAAAGAAAATTAAAACTACTTGTGCTGTTTGGAGGCATGTCTAACAAAGCAGGATTTAGAGCGGCATCCAGTCAGGTGTGAAAGAGATTATCTGTCCGATTATGATCTGATACTGGGAAATGAAGCGTGAATGTCAGATTTAAAAATATCTTTCAGTCATGTGCTGTGTGTTGGAAGAGTTCTACTCCTTAACAAAACTCAAGAGGAGACTTCATTAACAGCAGCTAGTTAGCTGAGCTGCTAATCCTGCTTTGAAAGACAGCGTTCTGATCCAGTCCTGTGACAAAGAGGTCTGTAAGTAAAAACTGATACATTCCCTTAAGAGTGGGCTACAAGAGGAAGCAGAACACTGAGAAATAACCATTCTGGCTGTTTTTAAAAGGTCACTGTTGTTTATCACCTGCTCTGTTTAGTGTGCTGGTGTGTTACACTTCCAAATTAGAGGTTAGTTCATACAAACTGCTTACAAATGCTACCTAAGCAGCGTAGCTTAACGGTTAGAGCCCACTTATACTGTGAACACCATTATTACAATGGTGGTAAAGAAGAAAACATCAAAATATTGATGTGCTCATGGAATAATATGCCCTTATGATATAAGGCATTACTTGACATGGTAACATCACATCTACACTTTCTCAGTTCAGCTTCTTTTCAAGTGTACAGTATGATCCCAGTTTCCATTTGCTTCCCTCGCTGTTACATCACCATCACCACAAAAAGAGAAAACAAACAAACTAGCTACAAATCCTTTCATGAATAAAATTGCATTATCTTTATATAGATAAAAATGTTAACAATCCCCAGAGATTGAAATATTTTATAAAGGTCCACCCTGCGAGTGCACCGCTAGAGAATTAACATCTGATGCACAGGACCAAAGGTTGTTTCACTCTCTCAACTTGTTCGTCATGAAAACTCTCTTCAGTGAAAACCACCAGCCTTCTTTACCTCTACTACAGTGTCCACAGCTCGTTTGTCAGGGGCTATAGTAAAACCCAGAGTTGGTATCCAAAGGTTCAGTGATCTAATGATTTCAGAGACTGTCTTTAGGGTGAAATGAGTGACATGTGGTTCAGTTGTTAGCAGCGTCCGCCTGCCGAGGCCAGTTCTCCTCCTCAATGCCCGAGTCATATTCCTCTTCTGCAGACTCCTTGGCTGGAGCTCTGAAATTCAAATGGAAACTCCAGTTCAGGTTTCAAAGTAAACACAACCGGAGCCTGTGAGCTGGGCTTTAAGGGATAGTTAGGATTGTTTGACATGGGGTTGTCTGAGGTAGTCAGTGGTCTGGCCCCATCCTACATCGCAGACCTTCTAACTTCCTATTCTTCATCCAGGTCCCTCAGGTCAGCTGACCTGGGGCTCCTGGCTGTCCCGCGCTCCAGACTTAAGCTCAGGGGTGATTGTGCCTTTGGTGTGTCTGTCCCTAAACTGTGGAACAGCACCCCCCTCCCAATCAGATCTGCCCCCACCATTGACTCATGTAAGTCCAGGCTTAAAACCTTCATTAGCTTTTGAGTCCCCCTGATGTGGTCTTCCCTGACACATGCCTGTGCGTGTTGTGTCTCTAAATGTGTGAACTGTGTGCCTTTTTTGCATGTTATTCCTTTTGTGCAGCACTTTGGTCAATGTGAGTCGTTCTTAAATGTGCTTTATAATAAATTTGAGTTGAGTTGCTCCCGGTTCGGAGAAGCAGGCAGGAGTGCCACCATGAAAGCTAAGCAATGTACTGCTGTGAGGGAGGGCAGCAGCAAAACGCATTTTAGCCACTTTAAAAAACATCAGTTCAAGTGTTCACTGCAGTTAGAATATTCTACCTGCTTGCCTTCAGACTAGGGGTGTAACAATATATGGATTTAATGATCAACGATCCAAAATCATCAATGCAGAGTGAAAACATCGATCCATATCGTCATCTTCACGATACGCTTTTATTTTCAAAGTCTGTGTCACCGTCAAACAGCGGAAGGCAGATGGCAAGCAGCCAAGAGACAATGAGGATAACGTTATTTACTCAGGAATAAATCAGCAGTGTGGAAATAAAGTTTGGAGAAAAAAGGGGTCAACAGACAGAGAACATGCCATATGTAAACAATGCCCTTATGAGATACAACACTAGTCTAGACGGGCATCTCATTCTGCTAACGTCTCACTACAGCAATTTTAGCTGCTCTGTTTCAACAACGTTCAGCTGAAAAGCATGCATGCTGAAATTCAACTGAGCTGTTCTGTCGGAAGATGCAGTGACTTAAACTAACGCTGAGTAAGAAAAAGTACAGGAAGGAAAGTCCACTAGCTGCTGAGCTAACTCATGCAATATAAACATGCTTGAGCTTATCGTAGGTGACTAGCAAAAAACAACTGACATGTCTATGAACCTTGACAGTTTTTATTGAGCTGAATTTTATAACTTTGTTAAATGATCTTGTTATTAATTCATATTTTATGGCTGCTGGGAGACGTCTGCCATGAAACCAGTGATTTACACCCCTACGTCAGGCAACCCTTTCTGACAGGGAACTTAAGCTGTTACATTAATCTCTTTAAAGCCACCAGGCTCCCTTAGTTTGGTGAATCCTAACTAATCCTTTTAAACACCCGAGTCACACAATAACACAAACACACTAGTCGATCGAGGCAGTGGTAGACCTGCAGCAACTGAGTTCTGCAAGGTTAATTTACTGTATTACTCAAAAGAGTCTGGTGGCTTTAAAGAGAGCTTAGATGGACAAAAGAGCTTCAGTTCCCTGGCAGAAAGGGCTGTCCGACAGCAAGCCCAAGCTGAGGAAATATTCTCAATACAGCTTTCACTTAAATTGATACTACATTTTTTTATGTGGCTACAATATTTTTGGCTTAGCTTCTGTTGTGATATCCTGCCTGCTTTTTCAAACTGGGAGCATGCTGACTGACATCTACAGTAGGTAATACACTGACTAGTCCCTCATACAACCCCACTTCAAAAATCAGAACTATCCCTATAAGGAATCTGATCTCTGCTGCAACACACATTGAGTCCTGTCCTGTGTGAGCTGAGAGATACTGACCTGATATATCTGGGTTGTGATTTTCCTTGAACAACTTCTTTGTTCAGCTCGACAGCCATGATGTCAGAGTGTGGCACCTCGAACATGGGCTCTAGAAGGAGCTTTTCCTATTAAAAATAAGGAAATGTTAAATTATTGTGTTACATCGATATTACGAAAGAATTTGTTTGATAACCTTGGCAAATATCACATACCATGATGGATCGAAGCCCACGAGCTCCAGTTTTCCTCTCCAGAGCCATCCTAGCTATGGCCCTCAAGGCATCTGGAGTCACATTGAGTTCACACTGAAACAAAAGATGTGGCAGGTTAATTTAAACATCAAGTAGAGACCTGTGGATACATTTCTAACAAGTTCTTTTCTATCTTATGTAGATCTGATACTAGATAAAGGGGCTTTGTTGTTTCAGGTACCACCAATGAGACAATAAACTATGATCCAGGGAGGCTAGTATGAATAGTAGATCTTTGAGTGTGACTCCAAAACACTGCACAGTGATTCATGATACTGTGAGACAGGATTTTACAACTATGGAAATTTATCACATATCTTTTGTTGAAACAGTCGCAAGGAAAATATTAATAATACTGCGTTCACATTTCAAAATAACTGACCAGGAATGTGCACCTGGTATTTGACTAGATGACGCTGCATTGTATTGTGGCAACAACTGAGCTGGAGCCCCCTCGTTGAGACCTCCACTGAGCTAACACAGTGGTCTCAGTTAAATGAATGAACGAGCTGTGTTAGTTTAACATTGTGCTGCTGCCTGTCTGAACACAGCTTAACACTGAGCTGTAGTAGCCACTACATCAGAGCCCTTACTTTGTCCATGCTGAACAGAGCCTGGTACTGGGGCACCACAGCGTTTCGTGGCTCAGTCAAAATCCGGACTAGCGTCTCTTCATCCAGGCTGTGCAGAGGAACAACCACAGGAAGACGACCTACAAACTCTGGGATCATTCCAAACTCAATCAGGTCCCTGGCCTCGACGTGCTTCAGCAGCCTGTCCTTCTCCTCAATCTCTGCCACTGTGTCTGTCTCACCGCTGGTGTTGGCCAAGTCTGCGGCGGCCGCTGCACGGCGCCCTTTCCCCAGGTTGGAGGGAGTGCCAAAACCCAGATACTGAGGAGTCATGACACATGAGGATCAAGTTAGAGGCGGGAATGATGACCAACAAGAATGTTGGTGGAGTGTCTGCTGACAGTACATATGAGCCGTGTTAATTTACCTTTTCATTTTTCCTTCTGCTGATGATTCTGTCAAGTCCGTTGAAAGCACCAGATGCAACAAACAGAATATTTGTTGTGTCTACCTGCACCGTCTCTCCTCTGAGCTTCCTGGAGTTTTTCTCAGGAACATTGACGATTGTGCCCTCCAAGAGTTTGAGCAAACCCTGACAGAGAGGAGAGGCAAAAAATGTCACCAACACAAGCTTAAGTCAACTAACACAGCACAAGGAAAGAAAAAAGCAGCTGCTACTTTCTCTCAATTTTATTCTGAGATTACTGTGTATAAAACAAACTGCATTTAAGTTTTATTTAGTGCAACTTGGGCTGAACACTGACCTGCTGGACTCCTTCTCCTCCTACATCTCTGAGCTGATGGATTCCAGGCACGCTGCCAATCTTATCAACCTCATCCAGAAACACAATACCTGCACAAGAAACACAAGCACAGAGCCAAGACAGCCTGAGTTTCACTTCTCACCATAACATGAGACAGTCCCCGTCTTTAATAAGCTCAATGTGTAAACACGTACACAGTGTTTACTTCAGATTTCAGTTTACACTATACTACACATCTCTCACTTTTAATCATGTTAAAAGGTTCAAATGTGAAGAAAACTGTCCATGAATCTCAACAGTTGAAGGGAAGTGGTGAGTCACAGCCTCAAAATTACACTGTTTACTTTCGTTAACCGCAGTTTGACCCCTTGATTTTTAGCTTCTTCCTGCCTCCTTCCTCTTCCTGTTGGCACATCCAGCCTGATAAAACCACTCTTACCCATGTAAGGACCTAACTGTATTGTGGAGTTTTGCACAGCAACGACCTGATCTTTGCTCTCAAACCACAAAAAAATGTGATGGCACAACAGTCTCCTTCAGTACATTATTCTATGCTTTCTTTTGATTTTCACATTGGCTAGTCATCCTCTTTAATTTGAACAGAATATAATGTCTATAGCCTTACTGTTGTGTGCAGCCTTATAGACTGAGCTGAGTAGTGATGCGCGGGTCGACCCGTAACCCGCGGGACCCGCAAATGGGCCTGCGGGTCGGGCAGCAGTGATCGTCTGTTAAATTGGTCTGTAAATGATATTTTGACATTATTATTCTAATCTATTAATCTATAATCTATTACTGTCATGGCATCCTAAGGTACTGATGTGTTGAGCAGGTGACAGTCCGCGGTCATTTTCAAAACACACTTGTGTCACGCACTCCAAAAGAAACTTGTTGAAACTTTTAACAATAATTTATTGTACAAAACTGGGGAAACAAACTTTGACTAAAACTGTTCCATAATTCATATTAAATTCAAAAGATAACGAAAAAACAGCTACAAGTTAGAGGGAATAGTGATAAAGTGGTAAAACTTGGCATTGATCCACAGCCTCAGACGGATGCGCTCAAGCGTGCTGTGCGCGCAAGCTCAGTTGGTAGGCTATACTGTATTTTCACATTTTTAACAATGCAATTTAAAAGTTTTGATTTTTATTGATAACCTACATTTACCAACAACAAAAAGACTACATTTAGCACCAAAAAAATATGTTAAACAAATAAATAAATAAAAAAAACAAAAAAAAAGTAAATAAAAAAAAAAACCCAAATATCGAATACCAAATTTTCATAACGAATACCTAGACATAGAAACTAATATTCAAATATCCGAATATTTGAGTACAGCCCTACTAATTTCAACATTCATGACAAATGTACATGGGGGGATTTCTATATAATGCACCCATTTACATTTTATCAAGGTTTAAAGTTACTCATAATTAAGGGCAGGCCACTTTGATTGACAGACTGTCTGCCAATAGTGTCCTCTGCTTCTCAGTCAGATCCACCCCTCGCTCCCACACAGCACCAGCCTCTTGCCAAAATATGGTCCCTTCTGACTCAAAAAAAGACGCTGATGGCTAAACTGCCACACTCTAAGCTTCAAAAAGGGAGTATACAAACCAATGGGTGACGTCACAGTGGCTACGACAACTTTTACACTCTATGCATACAAGTCAGCTGTTTGCTGCTATCGAACTGGTTTTCCTACTGCCTTCAGCCCTCTTCCCATGGGACAAGTATTACCTGGGGACCTCTCGTAATTTGCAATTTGTGGAGGTCGTCTGATCTTTTTCTCCTGTGTATCTACCATGTCTATAATTTGTTCAATAAAAATTCCATCACATACTACCCACCATATTTCACCAAAAACGGAGGTCATCAATATAAGTCCTGTGATGTGGGGTCATATTTTACTTTTTTTTTGCAAAATTTTTTGTTTTCTCTGTGCCTTTTTCTGCCTCTTTCCCAAAAAAGAATTATGGAGGTTGAGTTAGCAATTAGAAATGAAAGTTTAGACAACATTATGGGTGCAGGAGGCTAATTTTGCCTCCCTGGTAATACTAATCTGCAAATGTTGACTGATGGAGAACAGAGGCTCTGCTGTCACCGTGTCATGATGTTCATACTGACCTGAATTAGTCTGGGGTTGTTATCAAATTCTGAATGTGTCCCTTTTATTTACCCTTATATTGTGCCTTGTTTGTGTTATCCGTCAGCATTATCTTTTTAATACTCAAAAAGAACAACTCTAATCAATTTTGATTTATAATCAGAACTGTGTGTGCCTGTTTCAGAATGGCCAAATAAAATTAGATAACTCGCAGAAACTCCGTGTGATATACTGTTGCTGCAATTTGTCTTGATTCTTGTGTTCAACAAGAAACATATGATATGATTTTAACATAGGAAACGTCACTGCTGTTAAAGTTAATCCCTCTGCCCACCTTGTTGTGCTTTCTCCACTGAGTAGTTGGCATCTTGCAGCAGTTTGGCAATAACTGACTCGATGTCTTCTCCCACGTATCCCGCTTGAGTTAGTGTGGTGCAGTCACATATCGCAAAGGGAACATCCAGACAGCGTGCCAGTGTCTGCGCCAACAATGTTTTTCCTGTGAAAAATTTGAAAAATCATGGTCAAATTTCTTTGGTCACACAGATTCATATTTACAGATCAACTGCATATTTGGCAATCTAAACGTTAGAAATATTTGGAATTTTGGATGATGTTAAAATAACACTAACCTGAGCCCGTTGGACCTAGAAGTATGATGTTGCTCTTCTCCAGTTTAATATCAGTGTGTGTGGAGTCCAGGACCTCCCCGCCCCTCCTCTCCTGAGGTGCCTGCTGGCTCGCCTGTTGCTGCATGGACGCCCCCAGGGCATTTCCATGAGGACTGATCCCTGCAATCTGCAGCAGCTCTGGAACAACAGCCACAGCCATAGGAGTCAACTTTGTGACTGAAAAGTAAGAACTGAAAACTTCTCTGTGTGCTATATTTCAGAAATCACTAGAAAGACACTAATGAACACTCTCTAGTTGAAGTGCTGCACAATTTACAGGCCATTCATTGATGGTGTATATGTCAAACCGTGCATCTCCATGTGCAGGCTAAAAATATGCATGCCCTAGTCTGTGCCAGTGTGGAGTTACGAAGTGAGGAGAGCTGGACTGAAAATAGCAGAGGTACAGATGTGAATGTGGGTCACTGGGTTACCTTATCATATTGTCTGGTCTGTCAAAGATTAACGAGCATTATCTTATTGCTTCAGTTTCTATAGCTAATTTGTACACATGGTAAATCGATAATCACTGCTCCAGAATTGGAGCTGCATGACCTCAAACAACATAAAGTTCATCATCTGGTGTATTAGTTAATCATTTAATTATCTGATTCTTCAGGTTGAGGAACATACACCTGGTCTGTACATTTTGGCATTTGCGCAACTCATGAAAAGAAACACAGAAATAGCTGTTCAAGTGTTGTGACATTTAAGGTGGCCTCTGGTAAAGATAACAGTAAGGAGGACCAATCACTTACTTGTGAACCTGTACTCATCCTCTCGTCTTCTCATCTCTAGCTCTACAAAGAGAGGATGAAAGTACTCAAATCAATGTTATCATTAATAATTACCATAATGACATTATCGCTACAGTCCTGCAAAAACGTTTACACAGTTGTGTGATCATTATTGAACAAATGCCAAATAATACAGAATGACTCAAAACAAGCTATAACTGAAGGCCACAGCTCATAACTCTTCATGATGCAACATCTTACTGTGTAAAATAAAAGATACTGTGCCCTACTTCTTTTTTTTTTTTGCTTCAATTTGACAAACTTGTCAACAAATTGTTACTGTCAGGTGTAATCTTGCATGATTGCATCTCCTATGTGTTTGCATAGGAGCTAAATTGCTTTAGATAAATGACAATTCCTTTTTTAAATTTACTCTTAAAACAGTGTTTGATCAATCCCAGATTCATATTTAACCCCCTGTAGGCTGGCTTATATAACTCATCTAACCCGGTGCATACCATTGCCCCTCACCCTTCTCCTCCTATATCCTGTCTTTGCAGTCTAGTATGGAATGAACACAAAAACAGCGCCCAAAAGTAGGTCAAAGCTCAGCACTATATGTTTCAGTAGAACAGGTTTTGTCAAAAAAACAGAAGGTAGAGAACATGGACGTTCTGTCAAAGTGAAAAGAACTGTTTATGTCTTTATCTTGGGAGCTTTTATGCTCAGGCAAGAAAATATTTTTAAGTTTTTCATTTGCTTTCTTATGCACTGCAATATTTACCGACTATCAGACTACAATGATGGTCTATGGAAACCACGTGAATACATGTACATTACGTACATATTGTTTTAAATAACTCAAACATACCAAAGAAATTAGGAGGAGGTGAAGTATACCAATAGGCAACAGAATAAAACAGTGTCAATGGACAACAGTAATACTGACCACGAGGTGTTAGAGAGGGCTGTTTCTCCACCTCCACCTGCTGTCGACTCCCAGCAGGGATGTTGTTGTAGATTCGCTTGTAGTGATTGTACACCGCGACTGCTAACACCTTTTTTGCATAGGACTGGCCAACAACGTACTTGTCGAGGTAAGCATATATCTGTGAAAAACAAAAACAAAAAGAGAATTTATAATTCATAAACGTATACAGACTGACCATCACAACAGGATATGTAACACTTTGAATAAAAGTCCTTTAAAAGCATATTTTGATTTCCTGCCTCAATTTCTCACCTTCTTAGGAGGAGGGGGAGGTTTCTGTGCAAATGCCAGCTTCACCGCCTCCGCAGCAGATTCTGGCTCTTTGTTCAGTCCCTTCTTAGAGTCCGTTTCAGACAGTACCACGAAAAAATGATGGCATTTCTCACATTTCACAAATCGTGTTGATGCTACAAAAGAAGAAAACAAACACAGCACATTTAATACTGAAACATTTCACAACCTGATTCAAAGAAACATGTAAGATATTTACAGTTTCACAATTTTTTAGGGTTGCAGATCATTAAGAGTCCTGTGACTCTAAACAAAAATAACTCTGTTTACTGTCAAAGTGCTTGTAATGCTGAAATGGCAAAAAATGTCTGCTGACCTCCAGAAAACTTGCTGATTAATGTGCGTGATGCAACAGGAAAATGTGAAAAACAAAGTGCTGGTTCCCATGCCGCCTGCCATTACCTCGGGTACATTTACTTTCAACATATTTAAAATAATTTCTCTCTTAACAATGCTATGTCTATGACCAGGCTGCACTGTCACTGCTAGAAGATATTTGGTCACTGTGAGTTGACACACATTGCTGCCTGTTTGCATCATGGAAGTATAAAAAAAAACTAAAGACAAACCAGAGATTGTCTTTGCTTTAGCAGACAGACACAACAGTTTGTGCCATCACTATCTGATGAAATTCTGCTTAGTCTGTCAGTTTTCTATATTGACAGTAATCTATGAAAAAATTAACTTTGTATGTTCAAGTGTTAAACCAACTTCCACCTTGTCTCTGTGGGCAACAAGACAACGTGGCTGACATTATATAAACAACATGTAAGTGGTAAACCACAAACCTCCTCTTAACTTGAAATATTTTCCAGACAGTGAAAAAGCAAGTACGTTTTAAGAAGATAAATAGGGGGTTAAAATGAAAAAGGCAGAGGGTGATTTTATTTCCAAAGAGGCTGGACACCTATGACTCATAGTGAGTGGTTGAGCTGTCACATGGACAGTGTTAGACACATTCTGGCCGATCACTGGCACAAACTTTATAATGTCAGATAGTTTCATAAAGTTACAAAACAAACCAGTGAAGGAAACCTCGATCTGTTTGTCTGAGGTGGTTTCTTGCACCATCTAACTGCCCAAACATCACCTCTAAGTTCAAGCAGCAGTTTATAAACTCACACAGTTGATGATGAAATGTTGCAGAACATGCTGATTGGACTACAATGAAACTAATCCCTCAGATGTTTACTTGCAGGTCTTTATTTGACAAACTGTGCCAGGAAATTATTTATGGTGGTTGTTTGTGGTTATTGCGTATGTGCTGCGTGTTTATAGTTATTTCAGTGCAACACCACAGTTTGCACCAGAGTAAAATACAAAATGTTAAAGTTGGTTTAAAGCTTTGTTGAGAAAAACAAAACAAAACACACATTTCAACACAGAATCGAGGATACAAATGATATGGTTTTTATCTGCTGGGGCATTTTGCTGTACTTTCCCTCTGTTTCTTTTTTTGTTTAGCCAATGCACAAACCATCGCCGTTTTTTTCCCCTCCTTCTCATATGTGTTGTTCAACAATGCCAACCACATTTCTTCTGGCACTGATAATGCTGGATATTCACTGTATTATTCCGTGTTTAAATGTTCTGGAGACTGGGTTTTTTTGTATCCTGTCTTCTGTATTTTCTTTTGCTCCTTTATTGAATACTGTCAACAAAGCATCTGTGACAGATGAGTCCCCCTGAATTACCTCAGTGTCATACTTCTTTATACCTGCTCCTCATGATTTAAAGTTTCTGCATGCACTTTGCACCTAAAGTGCATATCAGATCGTATCTCTTTGTAAATGTTTGTCAAATATCAAGAAGTTTACTCACATACAAAGGTCTCTACATGTGTGCAAGGATCTCCACATTTGGGGCAGCGGAGCTGGCTTCCCCCCTTGCCCGATCCTCCAGAGCCAGAGAGTCTCTTTCCCTCACTGATGCTTTTCTGTGAAAAAATAACTGTGTCAGCACAAATTACATTACTACCATCTCTTCCACGGACAGAGTAGTGTGTAACACTACCATGGAAGAGAGCTACACATGAGAGTTATCCTGCAAGAGATTACCTTTCCACCATCACTTCCACCGTCCTTTGTTGTCCCATCTTTAGCGGCAAAGCAGACAGCAGTCTCTGAAAATGACCTCACCCGTACCCGGGGAGGTAAATGAGTTTCCCGAGACCCCTGACGGCTTAGAGAATACAGCTGGATCCGGGAGCAGGACAATCCTGTAACAACAACAACATCCCTTTTGATTCCTGACAAATGAATGAAAATTATCATGTTATTTTAAATGATTTTGTTTACCCTAAAAAACAGTTAGGCAACAAGCAAACAGCACAGTACTAAAACAATTATAACTGCTCCCACTTGTCATGTAACTAGTGCTGAAACAAGTATCTGATTAATCCACTGGCCAATTAACAGACATTGCAACTACTTTAATGATTGATTGAGCATTTCACAAAAATGTTATGCAAAAATACCAAACATTTTCTGGTTGTAGCTTCTCCAATGTGTGAATTTGCTTATTTTCTTTGCAATTAAAAATGTAAAAATCCTGGGCTTTGGACTTTTGGAGGAACAATACAAGACATCTGAAGATGTCAGAAATTGACATGACAATCATGGAGGTAGACGCCCCACCAGACCCACTTATATTTCTGTTAGGACTTACACCTTAAGATAAATACAGCACGGATCAGAGGTATACACTGATGATACTCGTACTGATTGCCAAGAAAATAATAACAATGAACTGGAAAGATGCAAAACCACCAACTATAATCCAGTGGATGCAGAGACTCTAAAAGGCTTTCACGACTGAACGAGTGACAGCAAGTCTGCAGCTGAAAATGGACACTTTCACACAAAGGTGGACTCGAGTTACACCATATCTGGGGATCTAATCGGATAGAATGGGTTGTTGTAAAAGATTGTATTAAAATATCACTCAAAATGCTAGTGGTGTCTTCTTCTGTAACTGAACCTGCTATGCTGTAAGTGCAGCACCCCTTAGTTATTCTTTTTTTTGTAATGTGGTTTTAAGAGGTCCTATGTCAGGGAACGTTCTGTTATCTGAAAATTGAACACTAAATAAAAAGTTGAAAACATCTGTAGATGTCAACCTGGGCTCTACCAAACGCATATGACTATTTTTCACATTTTTGTTACACTTAAAAGACTAATTGATGAATCATTAATCCAAGAAAATAATCTGCATATTAACTGACAATGAAATCAATTGTTAAATACAGCCACGCATGTATCATTGGAGGGCAGCTTAATTAGTTCACAACAAATTGGATAAGTCAAAAAAAACTCTCATGGACTGTGTCTTTGGTTCAATCAGTTTTATGCTTCATATTATCAAAAGCAACAGTTCATAATCAGGGGCATAAAGTCCATAGAGTATTTATAAGTGCTGTAGATACTGAACATTTTGTAATTGTCATTATGCAAGTGTGACAGTCTCTGGTTGATGTAACACTGCTACATAACACTGTTTACTGTTTGTATTGATGAGTTACTACTCTGAAATCTAAGTCTCAGCTGCACTACTTTATGAAAGTCTGGGTGATGTAACAACTACAGCTGCTAAACACTCTCAGTAACTTTTCCACCTGCTGTTGACATTACGTGACCAGCAGCAGTCTGGGTTAGCTGGAGACCTACTTCTCAAACTGCACCAGCAGCAGCACAATGTCATGCAGCTTTAGCCAGCTGGCACGGTATGTTCTTTCTCTGTCTTACCTCTGTGGGCAGTGTTTAGGAACAACCTGGCAGCCGAGGTACATGGACAGGACATTACTCTTCTTTTGGCTCAAAACCCTGAAGAAAAACAACAACAAAAGAACAAATAAACATACCGTTAACACGGTGTACTGAGTGAGGGTGAAGGGGGTGGCTAAGTTAGCCGGTGGCTAACAGACAGCCGTAGCAAACAGCAGAGGCCGTTTAGCGTTAAAACATGTTATAACTCACAACGTCACTGTTAGCGTTAGCAAAGCAGGTCATTTACTGGTGAAGGTGGCCGCCAGTGCTGCTTAGTAGTGAGGAAATTAATCTCGTTGTAACCACCTGAAATGTGTTGATTTATTTAGCTATCAAGGCTGAGTACACACCTCTAAACAGCTACATAAACACTTAGCTAGCTAACGTTAGTTATATAAATGAGTTGCTGTTAGCTACATAAGCTAGGCCCAAGCCAGAGCTACCTGACGTCTCTGCCAGTGGAAATGACAAACACCCCCGGCTGGACAGACAGCCAGTGTTGCGCAGCGGTTAATCTCGTCGGCTTTGCCCTGAAACAAATAAGCAGCTAGCAGTCAGGCACGCATGCTAGCCACAAAAAGACTAGCTTAATTCTAACATTACACCAGCAAACGGCGAGGCAACATGTAATTATTAGCTTGGTTATTTTACTCACAGGGCACGATGAAACCAGTCGGGTCTTGACAGCCCCTTCGGAAAAACGAAAATGCAAAGTCACCGCAGCTTTCGCTCTCTTGTTGTAGTTTGGCAGGTGTGTCGTAACGTTAGTGAAGCCACAGTGCCTACAGCATGGAGTGGGACGCGTTTGCTTCTCTAGGCCCGCTATTTCCACACTGATGTAACGCTGTTATGAACTAGGTCGGTTACCCGGCTAGCGGCTAGCTAGCCTTCTCACTAGGTACAGTAGCTAGCAGGAGTGATTTTGTAGTCAATGTAGACGGTGTAACAACATGGCGGCTTTGCTAAGTCTATGCAGCACACACCCATCCACATGTTTTTAAGATCTAGTCACACACAGGAGGCGTTAACAGGGATGGCTGCTGCTGCGTTCAAATGACCAATGTGCGAAATTGTCAAGGGTATGGGGAAAATGTGTTGCGTTTGCGTGATGCTCGTAAATGTCTAAAGCTGCCCTGAACCGAAGATTCATTGAATTTTGAGGCAGCAAATTTGACAATACTGTGTCATGATTCATGTGGCATATTTATCACCCTAGTTGCTCCTGGAATCACATGGTGTTTGTAATTAACTTTATGTAAAATCCCAGTAGACATACAGTTAATAATGTGCACATGACACTTTGATGTTGATCAAATTGTGTCCTCTTTTTTTCCCCCAGAATTTTCAGTTTTATTGATTTTTCAAACAAATAAACAAACAACAACAATAATAAAAAATATACAACCAATGAAATACACCATAAGTCGAAAAATCACAGGAAATTACACCACGACAGGACAAAGGGAACAAGGACGGAGAAATCAACCGACACAGAGCATTATATACATAAATATGTGGATGCATTTATATACACAAAAATATATACATGCATGATACATATTTTACATGGTACATTTAATGAATATCAAATTGTATATCATATTATGTACTCTAGGTAACACCTCAGATTATAAGAAAGGGTTCAACTCATCAGTACGTAGGGTTGCAGCAGTATAGGGGCCCCATATTTTCATGTAGATGTATTGCCTATCTATTAGTATCTAGCCTATCCTTTAGTTTTCCTATGTCACAGCACTATTCTGCATCCAGTTATAAGTGCTATCCTGCACCATGAGATTTGGTAAGTGTTAAGCCCACTTCCTTTTGGCAGCACACCTAATAGACAAAGCATTGGTGTCTGTCCAAGTGCAGAGGACATCACTGTATTGATGACGATCTATCATGGGGCATGAGTACAACATATGTAAGAGGGTGCCACAAGTGTTGTCACATCTCCAGCACAAATCTGAGTTTCTAAGTCCTAACTGTACCATTTTACTTGAGATCCAATAGATCCTATTGATAATTTTATAATTAATAAGATGTGTCTGCATTTCTCGTGATACTTTTAACCACGATCCAATAATTTTCCCCCCATTATCCACTTGTTATCTCCTCCTTGATATCCCTCTCCCAGCAACTCTTTAGGCCTTCAAAACTGGGTGGCTGCGAGCCCCTCAAGAGGTTATAAAAACATGATGTTTTTCTTTCCTGTTCCAATCTATCCTGTATTTCGGTTCCAGGTATAAGTGGCAGTTGTGTAAGACATGCCAAAATGCAACTTCGCAACTGCAAGAACTTCCAAAAATCCTTATCAAATAGGGTCCTCTTGGCTTGTCCTTGCAGCTAAAGGACAAAAAGCAAAGCCATGCAGAGTGAGCTGAATTTTTTTCTCCAGATAATCATAAATCAGAGAGGAAAAACCTGTTCTGGCAGGATTATGCAATATGTTCTGTAATAATCCAGTCAGTCAATCTTTGCAAAGTGATTTCTGGGCATGATTCCCTCTTTGCAAATTAACATTAGAAAGTTAACATGGCCTTCAAGTTTATTGGTGCCAGTGAAAATAGCCTTTTCCATTTCATAATAATAGAAATAAAGAAACATGGCACAAAGTTATTTAGAGCATGTTGCATGTTTGAAATACAGGCATCCTAAACCACTGGTTAGCTTTCAGTGCACCTCATTTTTTGGTTATGTGCAGATCCATGGAAGACAAATAAGCGAGAAGCTGTCTTATTTGCTTCAAAAGAGGCCATGACTTCCCTCTGGCTGTGTGATCAGCTAAACCTTGTCCTCAGGATGTTGAACCAACTCATGTGAGTAGTCCTAGTTTTAGTAATATCTCCCTATACCTGCTTTAAAGTCTGTAATGGTGACAGTTATAGCCTGCAAAAAACTAAAACACTTAGATATACATTTAAAGTCTGTATATCTTGATAAGGATACAGCCACAGAAGTGTTTATCAAAGGTGAATTGCACTGCTTAGGTTCCCAAACTGAGGGTCCCACCACTACTTGGGGTCACCAAAGCTTCACTGGGAGTCGTGAGGCCTCCTTAATTTTAATGGGTGTAAGAACACTTTTTAAAAATAGATAAAGAAAGCCTGTATCACAGCATTTCATTCATTTCTGTGAAGAAAACTATACAAAATTGTTATTTTTAAAATTTAGACTATGACTCAAGATATAAACTTAGAAAAGTCTCACAGGATAAGGACACAGTGAGGACCTGAACACAAGCTATAGTCACAGAGCCTTCACCTGATTAACAGCCTCATCTTGCATTAGAAAAGTATGCAGTTAAAACAACAGAGCTAACAGAACAATGGCAGAGTGTCTGGGAGAAGAATGAATTTGTTAAAAAAAGAAGCTTTTAAGTTGCTCGTTTTACATAAACGTCATGCAGTTATTGTGTTCACTATTTGGGTTAATTGAACAGTATATCAGTTGTTTTGTATTGTTATTGTCACTTATTTCAGGGTTGTTAGTTAACCCAATCATAGAAAAGGGGTCCCTTAAGGCAACAAGTTTGGAACCACTGTGTTAGAGGGTATCTGCATTGCCTAGTTGGTAATCTTGCTTTGGCTATTCTGCAGGTACTGGTTCTTTATCAGGACGCATGCTGCATTTTCACTGCGTATTCACAAGTGTCACAGTGAGGCCTTGTGATCAGGTTGCTCCTCTGAGCTGTGAAGCAGTGAGCGTTTCTGTTTGTTTGCTCTGTGCTCAAACAGCAGAAACTCATCCATCAGCTCTTGATGTGTTGCCTTCAGCTGATGCCTTTTCTACACGTTTCATTACATCATGTACCCACAGTGTATCAGTGTCACAAAATACATTGAGGAAAATAAGATTTGTCTATAATCATTTTAACCATGAACATGAAAAATCCATTCAAACATTGAATACTGTGACAAATTTGGGTAAAAGGTTTTGTCACATAATGAAATATGAATATACTATTCAGAAAAGTGGACTGTTGCAGCTCTGTGAATCTCAGCAAATGTAAAAATGTCCAAATTCCTACCTTATCATCCGTCATGTCACGCGACATGAGTCCAGCATTGTGGTTTCTTGGAATCAACACATGTGCAATAGGAGTCTATTTATTGTAAGCAATATCCAGTGTGACCTATTAAACATTCACAGCAATGTCAGGTCAGTGTTTCAAGAAATTTACAGAAACCAACTGATATTTTAAAAAATAATTTTATTGCGCATTTCACAAGGTTTGTTTTCATTTTTTTAAGCATGTTTAAGTCTAACTTTGCAGATTTTCACACTGCCGTTGTCCCACATATACAGAAGCCTTTTGTTGGGATAATATGACAGCATAGCCAAGGTGCCATTAGCCGGCCTTAAATCAAAACCTACATTCAGAGGACTCTCTTTCTTTAAATCGTAGGCATATGTGACTCGTCTGTCTTTGTCATCTGTAAAATAAACAACCCCACATACAATGAAGGCATTTCCTGCTTTAGCCGTCGGGTAGCCAGTGTTAATGACTGACTCCACAAAGAATTCGTCGGGGTTAATCTTCGCTACCATCATGTCATCATTTATATCTGATGCAAAAATGACCCACAGTCCATTTTCATCCACAGCAAACTTGAAATAGGTCTTTGAGTTGCGCAAAGGATAAGTCAGGTTGTTGTATCTGCAGTGTGCCATGATCAGAGTCTTTGTTCTCTTGGTGTTCAGGTCAAATCTGGAAAATATTGATGAAGTTAAGAAGCTGAGTACACAGTAATAAAAATTATAAATAAGGTAGACACATTGTCTTATACATGTGTAATACAAAGAAAACTTACTTTAGAAGTCTGTTTGTTCCTGCGTTGTGAAAGTAAAATGAATTCTTGTACACAACGTGACCGCAGCCCTGGAAGAACTTCCTGAGATCTAACATTTTGAAGATGTTATCCGTAAGTGTCGAATAGTTCTTGTACTCTGCCAAAAGTCGACCTGGGAAAGAAATTTTTAGTGTTTAAATCCACAGTATCTCACAAATCTCTGTAGGGAATGACTTGTGGTTGATGTATAAATAAAAAAAACAAAAATCACCTGAAAAATGATCAGCCACCCAGTATCGACCATCATTATGTCGGGATGCATCGGACATCAAGGCTCCAAATGTGCCTTGAATAATAGTGACTCTCTCTGAACATTTAATAGTTTTAATGTTGCACTCTAGATGAAAGCAGATATGTATTTCAGTATTTAGATAAGTTATCCAGCAGCTCAGTTACCAGACTAAACTGTTGGCATTGTACATTTGTTTTTGCATTTGTTCATTTCATTTGTATGACGTAGTTCAGATTATATGTATATGAGCTGAGTTTCTTATCAGGAGTAGAACAGGATGGTGGATGGATGGCTGATGGTATGAGTCCCAGTGTGAAATGGCTGCCAAGCAGAAGATAAGCAGAAGACTACTGTTTGAGACCAACAGCAGTGGGTGTATTTTAGCAAGAGCTTGGGACATTTCCAGTCGTGTTTGTGGCAACTAAAATGGGTAATTCAAGCCAAAACATGATGTTTTCCTAACCCTAGCCAAGTGGTTTTTGTGCCTAAACCTTACCCCATGTTAACCACAGCATTGTCACAGCATAAAATTTAAAATTTAAAGTGTAAAGAAATGTGATTTCAAGTTTCAAAGTTTCAACATATTCGCTACATATGAAATGTACAATGCCAACATTTTTTTCTGGCCACTGGGTTGCATCCGACAGACAGATTTAGATGGAGAAAAAAATACACAATTTTTAAAAGTGAAAGTGAAATTTAACAAAATGTTCTGACCAGTTTTTGTCCGTCTCTCATTGGTTGTCACATTGATCTCGTTGTTGGTCTGGAGAAGATTTGAAGAGTCTATATAAAAAGGAGGAAGAAGAAAAAAGGATCATTCATGTATGACAAATAATAAAAAGATAGTGGATTTTTATTGTTTGTAGCCAAAATATCTGATT